TCTCTCTCTCTCTCTCTCTCTCTCTCTCTCTCTCTGCAGTTTAATGTCAGTGTTTTCCTCTCCCCTTGTCTGTTTCAGATGCCTCAAGAGCAGTACACACACCACAGGAGCACCATGCCCAGCTCCGAGGGGCCGCAGGTGTACAAAGTGGGGATTTACGGCTGGAGGAAACGATGCCTGTATTTCTTTGTCCTACTCCTCATGATTTTAATATTGGTGAACTTGGCCATGACCATCTGGATTCTCAAAGTCATGAACTTCACAATTGTAAGTAAAGCCACACGTGCTTGTTCGGCAGCCCTTGGGGGAAGTGGAAGCAGGAAGCAAGATGATAAAAGTATGTGCTACAGTGTGTTAGCAGGATTCAAAATACTCTGTGAGCTGGAGTCAGGGAGGACTTCGGTTCCCATGGGATGGGGACATGAAGCTCTACCTAATACTAATTCTTCTGAGGCCAATAATCCAATTTAGAGGCATTTCTCTTCTTTACCTCCTCCTACATTCTTTCCCTTCATTTTGAGAAATGCATTAACTATTCTGTAGCTTTCAAGCACATTGAGTAAATTATGCAGGAATAAATAAATTCTAAGTATTAAGTTTCACCCAATTTTAGGAGTCACTATATAGGGTTTTGTGAAGAGGGGGCTGAGCACACTTAAACTTTGAATAGTACCGAAGATTTCTAGCTGTCTAGCCACACGTCCTTGTACAGCGCTGTGATAGTCTGAGAATCTCCTCAGTCTTTAGAGGAACGTTTCCATCACTGCAGGAGGAAGACAGAAATGAGCAAATCATCTCAGTGTTCAGGAAACTGCTTACTTTTTCTAAAGAAATTCTTGCTGTTGATGCTCAGGCTGCTGGTGCACACTGGGCATTTATTTGTTGGAGTTCAAATAAAAAGTTTATTGTGGAAAAATAACATTGTTACTATGAAGTTTTTTACTTAGAGATTGTGAAGTTATTTCTGGGGAGATAGACAGGGACCCTGCAAAAACTTTTCTTGTCCTACTGTCAAAAGTTAATAATTAGACTAGTAATGGAGGCCACCTTATTCGATCCTTGTGTTGTGGTTATGTTTCACAGACAGTGGGAGATTCCTGGTGAAGATCCCGTGCATGATAATGGGTATTTGCTTTTCTTAATTACTGTTCATTTTGATGCCTGACACCTTGGACTGGTCATGCTTCTTTGCCTTTGGCCAGGCAGTGTTTGAGCTCTGACTGCTCTTTCGTGTTTTCCTCTCTGATGTGCACGGGTCTACACTTAAGTGCATTTCATTGCCTGTAGCACTCCAGATAACAAGTTTTATCTGTGTTTCCCAGAGAGGTGGAACTTAAGAGAGGGAAGGGCTGCACAGTTTCTTTGTGTGTCTTCACCTCTTACTGACGTTACAGATTTTTATCTTGGGGTAAAAGTTCATTTGGTTCAAAATATATGGAAAAGCTTCTGTTCTACAGAATGACCTTGGCAGATCGTGAGTTATGATTGCAAAAGTAGAATGAATGCTACCATTTTTCAGTGTCTAATCCTCAAAGGCAAATTGCCTTTAGTTTCTCTCAAAACCACTCCCCTCATTTTGAACATACTGTTGCATCACTCTTGGCACTTTCTGAAGCAGTTCTAGAGGCCCTTGTTAGTGTCTGGCTCACCCTGTGTCCTGAATCTATTCAAAGCATTTACCTTTCGCGGTCACTTTGTCTTTGGGAAAGAGTGAGAACCTGTACAATGCTAAATTTTGGGAATAAAGTGAATGAGGGCAGACAAGAATGCTTTCACAAGCCTGCTTGTTAACTGAATGACATTCAGCAAGAGTCACCATATTTTTCATGTCACCCATTTAAGGTATTCGTTAAAGAGGGCTTCCAGAACGGCTTCAAAGTGTGACAAGCATAAATGGGAAGAGTATGTTCAAAGGGAGGGGAGATATTTTCAGGGACATTATTACAATGTGTCTTTTACTATAATTTTTCAAATGTAAACACTGACCATATACTTTGATCTTTTCTATACATCCCCTCTTTCTATACTGAACAGTTTCCATGGAGATGTTTGGAGGCCAAGCTAATAGTGTGCTGGAGCACAGTAGTATCTGTTTCTTAATTAGAGTCCATGAATACCTCTATTTTTAAAGAGAGAGAGGAAAATCAATAAAAATGATACCGAATTTCAAGATGATAGGATTTTAATAAGGATTGTTACATTACATATTATCTTCAAAGTAGTTGCTCAGATTACAAAATATAGGAGTGCTAAATTGATCAACTAACTGTTCCTTCAATGAACTTGTAGAAATTAGTAGTACAGTTCTTTGAGCTGTCTGGTGAATAAATACCTTTGAACTTGGACTTTGTGGACAAGCAGAATTCAGAGATGTGTTTAAGCAAATAAGAATTACATGATCAGTTTGGAAAGTTTGGCTGGAAGGAGGCTATAGGATAAGGAAAGATTCTGTACCTTGAGGCTATAATAGGTGCCCTGGTGCAGTTGATTTTGAATCTAAGTACCACAGTTGTATCTTATCACTGTACATGTTCTAGAACATTCTTAATTTGCATAGTGGAAATATATAAATAGAAACTTTTTAGTATTATAATGGAAAATGAAAGAAGGTCAAGCTTGGATAGTAACATAAAGAGGATTGATTCAAAAGACATTTAAAAGATGGACTAGTGCCGGGGAGATAGCTCAGTGGCATGAGCTCTTGCCTGTCAAGCTCAGGGTTCTGAGTTTGATCCACAGTACCCAAAAAATAAAAATAAACAAAAAGTAAAAGATGAGTTTGACACTTCGAGTTCAGCTGTGACTGTTGTATGTAGGAGTTGAGGAATGAGAAAACATTTTGAGAAATTTTCAGGTTGGGCTGGTCAGACAATTGGATAGTGGGGTCCAAAACTAAGCACAAATTTGTTGCCTTCTTACTAGAATTCAACTGGGATTGTGTGTTCCTTCAGCCCCCTGCATAAGATGAATCCTTTATTCTCTTTATTTTTGTGATTTATGTAATCTAGCATCCACTTATATAATCTGAAATTAGAGTTAGGAGGAGTGAAAAAAAGAAACTCCAGCCTTGATAATTAAAAAGACACAAATATGGCTTCTAGAATGCATTTTCACTGCAGCATGCTTCAAAGAAGTATATGTAAATGCATACGGTGATCCACTTAGCTCTGAGTGTATGTGGGCTCAGGGAGTGATACAGCATTAAGGTAATAATCTATATGAAATCAACCATTTCCTGTAGTTAGCAAAATTGATTGCTGAAGTCGAGAGGCCTTAAAGCTTTACCAAACCAAGTACTTACTGAGGTGCGAATAATGTCATTATTAGCCATAATTGGTGCTTTATAACAGTAATGCATTTGAGGAAATATAACTGAAGTGTTAGAAAATTGGTCTCACCCGACAAGTCAAAAGCATATTTTTCCATCAATCACAGCATAAAGCATATTCTTTTAGAGTTATAATTCTGTGGCACAAATACCAATTTACTGACAATGAAGAACGTGCCAAAAAATGAAGTATTAACATACTGCACAATGCAAGAGAAAAGAGAAAAGAATGTTAAAGTAGGAGCTGAGAATTTTACTTACAGATTAAAAAAATCTATAGAAACAGTAAATATTTTATATGCTAAGATTGCTTCATAAATTGGGATTTGGGAAAGCTTACACTATAATCAGACCCCCTGAGTAAGAGTGAACCAACAAAGTGATGCCATTTGGAAGTTTCTGAGGACCTGGAACGTTATCCACAATGAATATCTAGAATTTTTTTTTCTTTTATTGTCAGATTTGCGTTTCTTAGGTCCCATTGTGTTAGTATTAGCATTTCATGCAAATGTGATGGTGAAATAAGCTAGGGACTAGCGTGAGATTTCAGTGAGTTGATTTATGCTAAGAATGCATTCATTTATTCATTTTTATTTACAGACAGGACCTCACTAAGTAGTTCAGGCTGACCTTGAACTTGCTACATGTAGGTTCTCTTAGGTCCTGAGTCCTCAGGAGGACTTGCTGCCTACAGGTTCAAGAGAACCTGTATCTAACAAGTTCAAGGTCAGCCTGAATACATAGTGAGACCCTGTCTAGAAAGATTTGTACTAATAGTGTTTAGACAAGATATCATGTCTCCATCTTGTACTATGAATAGCTACTATGAAGACAACAATATGCAATGTATTAATTATTGTAACTGTCCTAGTGACCTGTTTTGAAACTATCTCATTGCTATTTCTTTCTCAATAAAGTTATTTTTCAAAAAAGCAAAATTAAACATCATCTTTCAAAAAATGTAAATATTTGGGATTGAGCTCAGCCTAGTAAATCTCCCTGAATGATTTAGACATGTGCTTATAAAAGCATAATTGCCTTAAGTACATTTAAAAATTTTGGCTCTTGCTCTTTGCCGCCGCCATGAAAGGTTGCTTTCTGCTGTGTGCTGCTCTGCCTTGGAGCCAGCTGAGTATGGACTGAAGCCTCCAGTAACTCCTTGCCTTACACCCCAACAAAACTCTGATTGCAACTGGTCAAGTTGGGAAGGAGCCGTATATATGCATATGGGATTCCTATAATGTCCAGACTGTGTCTATTCTTAAGGATGTCCACACACATGGAGTTGCCTGCCTGGCTTTTGACTCAGATGGACAGCGTTTAGCTTCTGTGGGATTAGATGCCAAAAACACAGTCTGCATTTGGGACTGGAGAAAGGGAAAACTTCTAGCCTCGGCCACTGGCCATTCTGATCGGATTTTTGATATTTCCTGGGATCCATATCAGCCAAACAGAGTGGTTAGCTGTGGAGTAAAACATATAAAGTTTTGGACACTGTGTGGAAATGCCCTGACTGCAAAAAGAGGACTATTTGGCAAGACTGGAGATCTTCAGACCATCCTTTGCCTTGCATGTGCCAAAGAGGACATCACCTATTCTGGTGCTTTAAATGGAGACATCTATGTCTGGAAAGGGCTCAATTTAGTCCGCACCATTCAAGGAGCACATAGTGCTGGAATCTTTAGCATGTATGCTTGTGAAGAAGGCTTTGCCACAGGTGGGCGAGATGGTTGTATACGATTATGGGACATGGACTTTAAACCAATAACCAAAATTGATCTCAGGGAAACAGAACAAGGATATAAAGGTAATGTGTGAAGAAATAATTCTAAGAATCAACAAATAAGATTATATAAAATTAAAAAGTTTCTGCACACTAAAGAAAGAACCAAGTGAAGAAACAACCTACAGAATGAAAAAAAAAATTTTGCTAGCTGTT